GAACAAATTAATATCACCAATCACCATGATAAAAACTAGTGAAATCATGGAATTGAGAACTCTTGAGGCGCGATTGGATATGAGACATAATCGATTTTAATCAATTTTGATCGATTGAGTTATTTTATATCAATAAAATCGAACTCAACTCAGCTTTTTATGAATATAATTAAATAGTATCAATTAATTATCCTCACAAATCACATTAACATTAATTCTTTATTCACTCACATAATTTTAACTACCTATCATTTCCAATACACGTTCTTCTACTTTTACATTACATCAACTTTAATCATTACATTTTAAATGTTACTTAATTACAAACTCAAAATAATTCACTCAGTCAAAAATTTATTCCAAATAATTACATTTTAAGTGTTTTTAATCATTACATTTTAAATATTATTTAATTACAAATTCAAAATCATTCACTCAAGTCACATTTTTAAAAATAATTACATTTAAATGTTATTTAATTACAAACTCAAATCATTCACGTCAAATTTTTTCAAAATTCTTCACTTTAACCAACAAAATCCTGGGTTTATAGAGGGTTTAAGTTGGTTGGATTTCTTTTATTTCATTTTTTTACAAATTGGTCGATTTCAGAAGTTAAATAANAAAAAAAAAAAAAAAAAAAAAAAAAAATAGTTAAGGAAACAGTACCCATTATTTTTTAAAAAAAAAAATTAAATATTGGGAACAAACTAAATTCAACAGGCATTTTTATGGCTATTTTTTTCCTTTTTTGTTCATGTAAAAAAACATTAATCTTTATACACAACTGGAAATGACAAAAACAGAAAAAATCAAGAAAATGCACACAACCAACAAAGTGGCAAGACACTGATATACACAAGCACAGCATACACAAACACCTGTGTTCCCTCGTAAAAACCAACTCCAAACTCCGTAAATATATTCACCGTCTCACAGTAATTTCATGCTCACACTTTATAAGTGTTTTAGAAAGATGTTCCTTCTTTCACCCTTAGCGTGTTCACTTCTCTTAGGTAACTGAAAAGGGGGTCTGTAAAGATCAAGACGATGTTCGCCACTGAAGTTCGATTTGTATCCTTCCATTCTTGGAGTCTATGAGATGGAACTTCTCGTTTATCCTTTTGTTGTTGACTACATCACCCAGGCTGATATCGACATAACCCAATGTCTCCTGATTTCACAAAAAAAACGAGCTGTTTGTTACGCCAAGTTGCAAAAATGCTCAAACACTACCAAAGGTAGATTATTTAATTTTTATATATATATATATATAAGGCGTTCGGAAAAACCTTGGGATGCAGCAGGCCGATTCTAGTGGAGGTGCTAAGTACCTCCACATGAATTCTGTCTTTAACTGGAGGTTCTTCAAGCATGAATGTGAACTCCTCTTCCCATCTCGGGTCTCGGTTCTTCTTTACTTGCTGTATTAATTTATAACAGTTGTTAGAAGTTATTCAAAAGCCAAATCGACATGCGGACATGCCAAATAGAGTACTACAACATAAACCAGCATCTGACAAACAAATCATTAAAAACAGTAGATGGGTCTCCCCATAGGCAATTGTTTTTTTTTTTTTT